ATGCACTAAATGGTATTGAGTTTGGCTTGATATTCTGTACCTACTCTGAATGCTATTATAATATTGGGGTTGTATTGTATCGACATTGAATAATTATTGAGATTCTATTGGGTTGAAATTGCATTGACATTAGTTTCAAGACTAAGCGCCCTAGATTATTGGACTATTCAACACTAAAAGAGTAGTTCCAGAGATTTTGCTCCCAAACAAAGAGTAACCTAACTACCTATCACTAGGTACTATTGATCATGACGTGGTTTATGTTTTATCCTTGATAAATGGACTATCAAACACAAAAACAATTATTCAATTGGGACCAGTATTTTAGGAGATTTTTACATTTAAACATACAAGCTAAGTGCGTACGGTACTTGTGTACTCACACGAGGTGTTGTTACACTGTTATCTCTTAATTTAAACTAATTCTCCGTACTTATTATCTTGCAGATGTCTCTAGAACAAGTCGTATTATTGTCATAATTTGTGTATATGAATGTTTTATTTTTCCGTTTCGTCCTCTCTGCTCTTAATATTTTTGTTGTGATTATTGTATTAACTAGACTTCTGTCTCCTGCATGTAATTCATCGAAGGACGTGGAAACTATTGATTTTTTTTCTTCTTTAATATCATCTGGTTTATTTCGTTGCGGAAACCAAGACAGTTATTCATGTTCCTGGGACGCGCCCGACTTTAGTGTTCCAGTGTTTTGTATGGTTGTGGTGGGCTTGTCCCATTAAAAAACTCTAAAAGACTTAGTAAAACCTAATACCATAGTTATAAATAGTTTTTCAACTTACTAGTTTAGTTGGTCTATTTTGTTTATTTATATGGACTGACTTCTCCTATTACCTACCTACCTACGCACATATTTAGTATATTCACAATGCAAGATGTCTACTTCTGAACACAGGGCTCTCCTTTTATCATTTCATTAAAACCGTCAGATTTAGACTACTTCAACCCCTAAATATGACTGCAAATTTACAATCCTAAATTAATGTTAACCAAAATAATATCAAGAATATCAACTTAGCTGGTGCTTGACTCATCTGACCAAAACATTAAACCATAATTGAAAAGACAGACACTGCAGTCCCTTCAGAAAATATGACCAGTAACAAAAAAAACAAGCACAATGTTGGACAAATGAGTCATATCTTATTTAAGCCAGGCCAACACGCTGGTTGAACTCACTTGCACTTTCAGCCAACGGCAACGTACCGCTGACCATAGTTGCAATGTATGCAGTGTAAATAAATGTGCTACAGTGTAATATCAACTTTGTTAGATGAGTGTTAGGATTTAATTTTGACTGTTGTTTTGTGGTTACACTGGACTAGTTTGTCTAGAATGTCTAGATGGTAGTGTTTTTGATGAAGAGTTGGTTTTAATACGATACATAAATGTGTTAGTTAGGTTTCATAATGAATTATTGTCCCATCTGTTGCTAAATCGTAACCCTATTTAATAGGTATGGAATATGTTAAGGGTGGATACTGGGTGTGTGTTATTTATACTGCTACATACTTATTCTTTTAAGAGAAAAAAGCAGTCCAAATTCTTAGGCTCGAAATAGAAGCTTCTAGTATTTATATTTCGTGTTCTATAATCCTTTAGTGGCCTCTATAGACACGAAGTAGTCCTAATTTTAGGTCGACCTATACGAGTGTCCAATTGTCGTATATCTACGCATGTACGACATTATTATTGTACGGTCCACGTCTCGGCGACATAGTGCTGTTTACTCGCTAAAAATAAACACCGAAAATCAACTGAAACAATTTATTATTACAAAATTAGACTTTATAGTTAATGTGACCTTAAAAATATCAGTATCTTTCCTTTAAACCCTGAAACTGTATAGAAAACAGTCAGTTTCCTTTCTCTTATAACTGCAACAGCTTAAGACGGTCCACCTTTGTACGATTAATCTCCTTTAAATGATCTTTATCTTTATTAGGGTTTTCTATAATCTCCGCACTTGGCAGGTGGAATAGTGAATGAAATAAATTATCCAAGTTTGTTAAAGAACTGTCTGATATCTGAGAAATATGTAGTCTGCTAGTCGAGTATTATGGCACCCACGGAAAAATGTTTATTATGTCAATTTATAGTATTTAACACAGTAATTGAAGGAGAAAATACCGTTGCAATAAGTAAATAATAGTACTTTTGCAAAAGTGAATACAATTTGTACAAATATCCGACTATAAATAGTTAATTAATTAGTGGCAAATTAGCAATGCGAAATATATTTGCATTACAAATGAGTCTTTATGTCATTGACATGTCTTCAAGCAGGTGAAAAATTCCTTTGTCCCGTTACATTATGACAAGTGGTCGCAAGTGTGACTTATGGGTGTCTAATGAAGTGATGAGCAAAACCCGATATAGATTCCTTCCGATATAGATTTCGGAAAAACCTCACGTGGATAGCTCATGACTGCACGGTTGGTGCGGTGGCTGGGCAACCGGCTGCCGTGCAACGTGTCGCGGGTTCGATTCCCGCACGGAACAACACTTTGTGTGATCCACAAATTGTTGTTTCGGGTCTGGGTGTGATGTGTATGTGAACTTGTATATTTGTAAATGCACCCACGATATAGGAGAAAATCCTAGTGTGGGGCAACGTTTAAAAAAAAAATCCTTACCACTGAATGGCAATGGCAATAGGTTTGGTCTTATTGCATTTTATTTATACAATATATTTGATAACTTCATGCTACGTTTAATATCTAACCAACACACCACGATCAGGCCACCAGGTACCACCAGGGAAAGGTGTGATTTTACGATGTGTTTCCATTACATTTATAAATACAGGTAAAACTAATAAAAACTAAAAAAAATCAAGAAACAAATAAATTAGCAAGAAGACAGTCGTCAAAATATTATCGTTTGATTCGTATTTGTTACTATTCGGTTCAGCAGTTTTGAAGAGCTGCCAACACCGACAGACGGACGGTCACATAATGTGTTATTTTATTTTTTCTTTGGCTAATATTGTGCGAATATATTTACTTCGAGGTTTATTTAAAAAGAGACGCAGAAAGTCGTTAATTTTGAAAGGAATTTATGAGAACAATAGTAAAATTAAAACAATGATTTGCAGTGATTTGTCGCAAGCGTTTGACACGTATGATGGTTATTTCCTAAATAAATTAAATATGAGTGGTGATATTTATTACCAGTGTCCCATTAGTGTAGGAGGGTGCAGAGTAACGAGCGACATGCGACAAAATCGTGGCATTTAGAGACGGTTTAGTATATCTGTCTCTAGTCTATACTACATTTGTCAAAATATATCATGCATGTTGCTCGCTGACTGATAGTCTTTAGGTAAATGTATAAATAAATTTTGTATTATCCATCACGACTACAGCAGATTAACAAACTCTAACGTAACATCCTGTTTATGTAGATAATCCCGTCCAAATTGAATACAAGTGCATCGTGAGACTTATATTATATTTAGCGTCAAAAATAATAAACATTAACATAAAAAATGTATGAAAATATCTTCGTAAAGAAACTGAGAGAAGAACAAAAAATATTATTCAAATATGAAAGAAATTCTTTACTTTTAAATTTACATAAGAAATCAGTGTTCGTACGTTGCGTAGGAGCGACGTGTGTCGAAAGATACGCTCAATGTCAGGTGCGCGCGCGCAGATTAGCTTCTGTCCGATAAGGTCAAACATTATTATGACATTTAGTTATTTATTGCTTGTATCAGTATTTATAACGTATTGCATATTCCATGCATGACCGCAAAAACTGCAATAGATAAAAATATATTGTTTGGCGCTGATTATTAATAAAGTTATAAGGAAAAGTGTATTAATATCAGTGCTATTTTAAGCTGATTTTATTGTTATTTTGTATATTTTAAAAAGGTCACATTCTGCGTAAACTTAATTAATAATAAACAATTATCCTATAATACTGCCAATTATATTGGTGAAATATTCATTTTTATAAGGACTTCCTTATCCTCTTATTTGGAAGTACGACTTCATTAATCGGTTGATGATCTCAGTCGGTTCTCCTACGCTAAATTCTTGTAAATAAAGAAAACTGATCAACCTTTATTGAACCTAAAAAGATAAGGATGACCAAATTGTATTATGTCCAATGTCCACATTTTGTAAAAAAAAATGTATCAAAAGTATGATAACAACTGTATTATGTACCTACCTGTAATCTATCACTACATAGTATAAAACAAAGACGCTATCACCCGTCTGTATGTCCCTATGTATGCTTAGATCTTTAAAACAACGCAACGGATTTTGATGCGGTTTTTTTTTTAATAGATAGAGTGATTCTTAGGGAAGGTTTATGTGTATAATACATGCATATTATTGCACTCGTGCGAAGCCGGGCCGGGTCGCTTGTAATGAATAAATGAATTTAAACATTTGAAGTATTTAGCGGAAAAGATAATAATTTTATCCTTACTTGGAAAGGCAGCAATGACTCTTGAAGATCTGCTAATTAGGAAACGGGTAATTTGGAGCTTGTTGAAAGCGCAGATCCCACGATATAGTATTACTTACTGCGTTAACTGACATCAACAGCCCTTAACTGTGACTATGACTTCATTGAGTCAGCGATCCCAAAATGTCTTGAAGAGTATGATACAAGAGGACGCTACTCACTCTATACTTTTTCTCATTTGATACGGAACCGCGGAGAACGTAACAGGTTACCGGGACTCCGGCTCTAAAGTGCAGGAGTAGGAACGGGATGGTTTTTAGTCAGTAAGAGTCTGACACGCCCTCCCGCCTCACTGAGGCGGGAGAAGTCATTCGATGATTTCCCCCCTTAAAAAACCTCTTCTGATTTAAAGGTTGCTCTTCTCTGTTTCATTAGCAACGATAACGATACGTTACTAGCTATCCTCTTCTTAGGATATGTGCGATGATGGATTATGTGTTTTTATGTGTCCTACTTTAAATATTTAGAACTGTGCTAAAAGAAATTCCTATTGTTCTAGGTGTAAACTGCTGCGTGTCCTCAACAGTAAGATACTGGCACGCGAGCTGGTGGGGAGCTCCTGTACGGGAGCTGCACAGGACGCTATGGGGCTCGTTAGCAGAGATCCTAGCCTCCAATAACTTCAATTTTACAAAGTAAGTAGTAGTTTTTGAAATTTTTTTGTTTATTGGCTTACAGGAGCTGACTTCACACGTCCTGCATTCTTTGTATTATAACTTTCGTGAGACATACTAAATTAATTATTATGTTTTCGGCTTACTCACGTAATTATTTGACGTCGCAGGCATGAGGCGTCGCAGGTAGCGAAATGCTGCTCATGAATATGAGCCTCTAGTTATACCCAAATAATTACGTGAGTAAGCCGAAAACATAATAATTCGCCCTGCATTCTGTTAATTTGTCATTATTTTCAACCGAAATAAAGCAAAGGTCCACTGTTGAACAAAGTCCTTTTGTTTTTCTGGTTTACAATGAGATGTCAGAAAGCCGTTCAGTACTTTTTTAAGTTTCTATTTCTTCAGGATAATAGATTGACTCAAATAGATTAATTTGCACTTCCGTAGCGTTAGGGACCATAAAAACTTTATGATCGGTTTTTAATCCCAGTGATTACGGTCCTACTACACACGATTATAGATATAGATAGATGTTATCTTTAAAATACGTGTACAGAAATATCGAGACTATAGTCGTAAAAAAGTAACGACTATCCCCAAGTAGAGCAAAGATGTATAAGTATTTTAAGTACTTTACTATAAAATTAATATTTTCATAATCTGATCACTATTACTCAAATCAAGTACAGTTCAACAACAATACACACATACGTATCTACATAAATAAATACAAGAAAAAATATGTTAATTAGTAAACAAAGCGAACTTATATCCATGTGGAATAAATTTTAACTGACAGGCTGTCAACCTTTGGGACAACGACAGTTTTTGTACAAAACAAACAATATTTAATTTTGTTTACATACGTAATTACCATCGATAAATATTAAGACAATAACCAGAATTTTGGAGTGGGATTCATCAGAATTAACGGTATTGTTTCCTGTTATTTTTGAAGGTATATTTAGTAGGCCTGAAAACAAAGTTTAAATAATAATAAATAATAAAAGTATTCGCTGCGGACAGCCTAACGGGTTACGGGGATACCGGGGCTCCGGCTAGCCGCAGGAGTAGGAAAGGGGTGGTTTATAGTCAGTAAGAGTCTGACACTCTCTCGTCCCGGGCGCGAGAAGTCATTGGATGATTTTCTCCCCACAAGAAAAAGATATTTCTTTCAGGGTCCGAGACCATTTATATGAATACTAGCGGTAACACTTGACCTTGCCCCCTAGATAAAAATAATAGAAAAAGAGCACTGCATTCAAGATTCAGCCATCTATTTTATTTCTTATTTAGAGATATGTTTTACGAACATCGGACTATGCTGTACTAAACTGAACTATCAGCTTGTTTCAAATCTTACTGACACTTCCAGCCATTAAGGCCTTCAAACCTTCAAACAACTTCCAACTTTATTACTGTACATATTAATATAGAGGTAGGTAGATTATAGGTAGCTGTGTCATTGAAGAAAACTATAACATAGATACTTCAGTTTACTCAATACAAAGACTACAATGTAACTTGAAAACACACATTAATGGTTTAATTAACTTTTGTAAACTAACGGTTGTCAAATAATACCTAATATTATATGTAACTTAACTAGCTGTTACCTGCGACTTCATCCGCGTAGAATATGAGTTTTAGGGTATTTCAATTCCAATTTTTCAATCATCAGTTAATTCTTAACTGTAGAATAAAATTGACATTTGACAATTGTTAGGAAGAATTGTCAAATATTCAAAGTTATTCCCGAGTTAAAATTTATCTGAGCATTGAAAAATTGGCCATTAGGATATAACTTTTATTGTTTCAATTTTCAATAATAAAAATAGCCTATATTCCTCTTTAGTATATCAGCTACCTGCGGTACCTGCCAGTAAAAGTCCCGTCAAAATCGGTCCAGATATTTCAGAGATAAGCCACTACAGACAAAAATTTGGTGCCGCTATCGTATGTATATTCATATGCATGTAGTAAAAAGCGGTTATTTCAATATTTTACAGACACTCCAATTTTATCTATCTGTATAGATAATGTCTACTAAAAACAATAATGAATCATTTTAAATACAAAATTCTAACCTTTATGAACTTAGTGACTCACTAAACGGATTGAATTTCATTGCGACTAAGTACTAAGTAGTCGGCCATGTTTCCTGTGCTGTGACGTCACAGGTCACTAAGTTAGATAGTATAATGTCGAACGGTAATTTATTATGGTGCAAGACCTATGTTAGTTTTTTGATACATTGTCATTGCCTTTGACAATTTTTTTGTTAGTTAATCTGTGGATTGGGAATTCGTAATAGATCTACTCAATGATTTATTATTTACTAGCGAACCGCCCCCGCTTCGCAGGGGTGCAAAATGCATGTGTTATATATATAAACCTTCCTCTATCTATTTAAAAAGCCGCATCAAAATCCGTTGCGTAGTTTTAAAGATCTAAGCATACATAAGGACAGACAGACGGCGGATAGTGACTTTGTTTTATACTATGTAGTGATCTGCGACTTGGTGTTTATTCGACCCATCTGACAGACCACGAAGATCTTTTAGCTGACTAAGATCTTAATTTGTTCCTCTTATCACTTCGTGTTTCAGTCTTCTGTGACAACATATAAATCATGTGCTACCCTATGATAAACCTAGACCTATAAATCAAGTCGCGGAGAACCTAACGGGTAACCGGGACTCCGGCGCGACGCGCAGGAGAAGGAACGGGGTCGTTTTTAGTCAGTAAGAATCTGACACTCCCTCCCGCCTCACCCAGGCGGGAACAGTCATTCGATGATTATCCCCCCTTAAAAAAAGACCTATAAATAATTATATTTTGTTGTACAAAAACATTGAGACATAATTTCAGGGAATAATCTATTCAAAACAAGCTTAATTATGTTGCAAAAAATGCATGCAAAAAAAGATGAAATAAAATATTTAGGTAAACTTCTCATTTGTCACTTGTCTCATCATCACACACTTTCAATGTCAGATCACGGTCACAACTTAAATCACGTGTAGATACATTATAATTATAATAAATGGTGTTTCGAGAAATCTGTGGAAATAAAAATGAATTCCCGTTCGTTAGTCTCGCTAAAACTCGAGAACGGCTGAACCGATTGGGATAATTTTGGTCTTGTAAAATATTCTTGGAAGTCTAGGGATGGTTTAAAAGATGAGAATACAAATTTACAGGCGTTACGAAGTTCGCCGGGTCAACTAGTATTATGTAGTATTATAAAATTCAACATATGAAATTGCTGAACGAATTTCAATGAAATTATAAAACAACTTGATCTTAAATCGTATAAGTACCCTAAAAATAAACCGCGAAGTTATGACCGAAAATACAAAAAAAACTATTTATTTAGAATTGAGAACGTAGCGACCATTTTTTTAAAGTGTGCTAAAAAACAAAACCGTATTAATAAAGTTTGTTTGAGACAAACGTTCAAAGTTGTCTTTCTTTTGTACCCAATTTTATGGGCCAGCTAACATGGAGGTGCGATATGCGCAAATGACGGCAAATGATCGCAATCACCCCGGTGACCGTGTCACGATACTGTTATTTTCAAGCTAATGTATAAGTAAGTGTAAGTAGATAATGTTTACTTAGTTCCGGCACCAATTGTAAACTATGGCGGTGTGACTAGTGACGTCTGACTTCTATTTTCTCTATGGAGAGGAGAGAAAATGATTTATGGTCGTGTCTTGATGTCTTGTCATAAATTTCTTATTCAGCTTTAGCCACGACTTCATTTACCTTACCATGATGCTAAGTAGCTCATGCGTTATTCTAATGTAGTCCATTTGCATCCAGATCCGTCGAGCCGTTTCGACGTGGTTTAGTTGCAAACATCTATCGAAACTTTCGGATTTATAATTATCTTTGCTGTAGTTTAGACGTTTTAACAAATAGGTTAGTTTTCTAAATTTAATTTTAATGTCCGTCTGGTACATTAATTTAAAACATTACACACGTATTTTTTCTTTTCTCACAAAATTAAATACTTTCGACGATATATTAATTTGAAATATTGTGTGACGTCACAGCGTGTCACATTATGTAGCACATTATGACGTAACGACATCCCGCTCCTAAATTTAGCTCCATTTTATCTAAGTATTGCAACTTAATACGAGAAAATAAAAAAATACGTGTCTAATATTTCTTCATTATCTAACTGACGGACTAATTAGATTTAAAATTTTGATACCCTGGAAACTACCCAATTCTCAAGTGCCGTCGTTTCCTGCCGATGTCCTTGCAAGCAACTTAAGTCCCGCTTCGTCGGTTGCTGTAACAACGTCCTTTGACGCCTTCGCCCTTTCCTTCCTCACAGTAACTTAGTATAACTTCAGTGCAACACGTCATCGATTTATGATAAAGGAAATCTTTGTCAGGAAACCTGCACTTGGAATATCTGTATTTTGTATTGTAAATTTGTATTTAGCCTTCAACAGGTCAATTTTAATAACATATTAAGGCTAACAATGCAGAGAAGCTGTGGACTGTCACCACTAGTTGATTCCAAACTATAAATAAATTACCGGCCGAAAACTGACGATGCCAAACGCGACACCAGCGCCGATGACTTAGTAGCTACACAAGTACACTTAGCTCTTCTTGGAAGTCTTTAATATCTACACAGATATAGACAATAACTAATAAAAATAAGCTAATAATAATCTCCCAAATGAAAAAAACAACACCAAATGATAATATTAGTAGCAAAGATAAAATTAATTGACTACATGAGGAGGTCAGATCAGATGGCAGATGTTTTGCATCAAATACAAATGGCAACAGTACTCCGTTCATTGCATGTAACAGGAGACGGTGCTTCGTTTGAAGAGACATGTCTGTATTCAAATTCAGATTCTTTGCTGTCATAAAATTGAATAGCATGGTTAACTTGTACCTACTTTTTTATCAAGTTGAGAAATCTTCAGAAGACACCTTGTTTATGGTAGAAAGCCTAGAGTATGCAAACTCAAAAGCATTTATTT